TACCGCGTGTAGTAGAGAATCGATGTTCTAATTATTAAGTATAATTAATAAAGTATAATAGTTATTGCATCGGTTACCGCGTGTAGTAGAGAATCGATGTGCGATGGAGAGCAGACACCCTGGACATGTTTCGCTTCCAACTGCAGACGCACGATCGTCCTAAACCCCCAAAAATAAAACACAACGTCAACGACTCGTTCCTGCACACAGCAGACCGACCTTTGTGGCACGATGTGCTCCAACTAACTAATTAAACATTATACTAGCGATATTACTCGTAGACGAAGATTATTCACGAAAATTCGCTCCGCCATTATTCGTTCTGCAGAGGTGGCAACCCCCTCCCCTCCATGTGCGAATACATAGTCCCCGCTCACTAGCACTGTCGGTGCACAAGAGCTACTCTATTTTTACTCACGCGTATAAGCCACTCTTTTGTATGCAACTTCAATAAAAAAAACGGGGGGTGCAACTTATACAAGAGGCTTTGAAATCGTGTAAAATGTACCAATGTTTGTACCAACTTTTAAAGGCTAAATATGAGGTGCAACTTATGCACGAATGTGACTTATACACGTGTAAATACGCTAGTACTAGTACTAGAGCTACAGCCAGTGCAGCGGCACTGCACTGTTTCCCCTGGTCGAAAAGGTCTGTGAGGTACTAAATTTGTGTGTGATATGTTTGCGCGTTTCAGGCTCCTAGCATAGCGAGCAACGCATGAGCTGGCCAAGCTAGGAGGGTCCGGGGGCTTGCTCCCCCAGAATTTTTTGGAAAAAATAATGCAATTTGGTGCATTCTAAGCTATTCAGAAAACATTGTAGGAGACTCTTGAATCTCTATTTCAAGTTGTCAAAAGTTTCGTCGGCAGTTTTCGACAAATTTCTGTGTGGTGGCTGAGAATTTGAGCGAGGCGGCCTGCCTCGCTCGTGTCAATGCAGAGGAAACACTGCACTGCTACGACGCACGCCATACACTCCCAACAGGATACTCACCGAGGCTTCTGCGGTCCCAGAATTCGGACACGTTTCGCGATGGCATCTGCATCCGAAGTGCCGACATCAAGTTTTCGCAGTAGTGCTGCCACCTGTTAGTGTCAGAAAATGTAAAGATAAGGAGTCATTTTACATGCACACAACACACAGCCTGCAGTCACTGACTGAGTCAGCACTCTCAGTATCATCATTTCCAGCCCATGGCTTAGGTTGACTAAGGCTCTAACGATACACAAGCCTCTCGATTTGATCCGGTTCTCGATATTAGCTTCTCGATTCGATTCCTTCGATTCGATTCCCAAAATATTGAAATGTTATCTTATTTTTTATATTTTCATTATTTTGCAATTAAAACTCCTAACCAACTATTACATTCTTTCTTTTTTCTCAATTTTATTTAACAAAATAACTTTAAGCGCATAATTATTTAAACTCGGGGAAACTGCAGCCTAGACTGGTCCGCGCTCGACAAGCAGTGTAACGCGAGCAGTCACGTCTAACTGCAGCCCTGTAAACATATTAGCGATGTGCTGTAGCCACTCATTAGCCGACTGGCGAATCAGGACTATTGACCAATCAGAGCGGGCGTCTCATACACGCTTCGGCCGATGCACACAGTAGGAAGTACTAGCGAGTTGGATCGGATCGAAAATACGGAAAAAGTATCGAGGATCGGATCGAGGGACGATAATCGCGATTCGATTCGATTTCGGTGGATCGTTACAGCTCTACGTTAGTTACGACCCCTAGATACAATAATGTAACCCAACAAGAGTAGGGTTATAACGCAAGCCTATTCTTTTCTTTGGAGGAGCCCCTGAGTGATTCACTCCGGGCGGTTTTATGGTGCGTTTTTTTGAGACTACCACTTCCAAACTGGGTTTATTCTAAACACGAACCTTTCTCCACTATCCTGGGACTTACTATGTATCACAATACTCTGTATTAAACTATTATAACCTAATATAAACAAATATAGATGAATGACTAGAGTAGATGAATAAAATGTACACAGGTCATCTCACCTTAACTTTTGATATGGGTTTGACACTCGCAATAACTGCTAGGATTGCAGTACGAAAAAAATTAATAATAATAACTAATTTTAATCGCACGAATTTGTAGACTTGTTATTTGTTATTTTATTTCTGATTTTTACATCTGATAAATGCGCTTTCACATCCCATGTACACTCTATCCATTTCACACCACAACTACCGGTTAGTGAGCAAGGTTTCTTCTGAGGGAAAATTAGACAAAGGAGGTAATGGCCAGTTAGGGAAAAAAACTTACATGATGGATTCAAAGTCGTGCCGTAGGCACGCATTCAAACGCTGCAGGCGGACGTGGAGGGAGAGAGGGAGGGGTTCTGGGGAGTCTCCCCCCACAAAATTTAAAAAATTTGAATGTCTTAGACTGCATTTGAGGCACCCAGAAACTATTTTCACAACGGCGATGTTAAATTTGACAACGGCGGTGCGCCACAGTGTCACTTATGTATAAGAAACCCTGCTATGGATGGTGGTGACTAGGCTCGAGCTCAGAGGGACAGCCCGTGCTTACTAAACTTCGTGACCCAGTCTCCGAGATAGTTGAAACTAGGCACGACAGCAGAACAAATGCGAGACAGTTGGGTTAACGTTAAATTAATCATCGGTGGTTAGAATTAGGGTCAGAGTAATGGCTCCAACTACACTCGAGCTCGGGGGGGGGGGGCAATCAGAAATATAATCAGAATCACAGTAGAAGTTAACAAATCCGGATGCGAGAAATCCGGACCAACCGAGAATCCACTTTTCGAAAACCCTCAAACCAAATATTTAATTTGTGTAAACTAACTTCAGCTTTCATATGTTTGCTGTATTTTTCTTCTACGTTTATTTTTAAGCATGATTTAAAGCCTTGCATTCTCTGTTTTTGCAGGGAACATTTTTTATGTTTACATTTTTGTCAAGCGTTGACTATATTTTACTTTGGCACTGCTTATTTTGATAAAAGAAACATGCAGCTTTTGCTAATGAATAAACTATCCAAATTTACCTGTTCATCTCTTTTTTATTCCTTCTTTATATATTTTTTATCCTCTTTCATATCCTTTATATCCTTTAAATATGAATTTTAAAAGTACTACCAGAAAATCCGGACTGACCCAATCTCCGATCAGTCCGGATTTGTGGATTTCTACTGCAGTGTTTCCCCTGTATTGACACGAGCGAGGCGGCCGCCTCGCTCAAATCTCAGCCGCCACGCAGAAATTTATCCAAAAACACCGCCTCGCTGACGAAAATCACTGTTGACAAAACCAAGTGACAGTCTAAGAAATCGATTGTGGCAGCATGTACCGTACGTAGCCCAATGTTTTTATGACTGCATAACAATAAGTTTATATGTCGCAGGGGTTATCGTGGGGAGTGAGGGCACGACCAGTGACATCTGACACGCACGTAATCAAAGCTGTTAACTGAATTCGTCACTTTTCTTTACGTAGAAAGTGGACTATTTTTATTCAGTTAGATATCTAGAAACAATGTAAACTGTATATACTTCAAAATTCTAGGTACTTGTAACTTTGCGGATACGCGGCACCATTGATCTATGCATGGCGGTACCGAGGACTGGGGAGGAGAAAAACGAAAGTAAAACCTTTCCCAGAAGCTTGTTTGTTCCTTTTGGCAACTTGAAAAAGTGATTCAAGCGTCTCATAAGAACATTTTAAAATATTTAAGCCATTTTCCTGCAATCTGCGGCATACTTTGTGCCATATTCCCATGTCTGATGACACTATCTCAACCCTATCCTCAACCCTACAATTTAGGATTAAAAACACTTTTCATTCCTCTGTGCCCCACTTGAAATTCTGTCTTGCATACCATGCAATAGCCATGATTAACACTGAGTTTTGACTTCACAAGTACAGGACACATTTGTTTATATTCGTTCCTGAATTTCTGTAAAAGTCGGGGTTTTTTGGTTGGCAATGTGGAGTGTGGACGCCATTCTCCGCACGTGTTAATCTGATTAGCAGACAAACTACGCGACACCTTGCAGACAGCGCCTGTCTGACTAGGCTGTTCCATTTACCGTAGACATGCCAGATACAAAATGCATAGAAACACATTACAACACTGAGCGATGGTAGGGGGGTGGTGCAAAGCGTGTGAACGCGCCTTATGAGTGTGTATTTGGTATTTCCAGAAAACGACTTGGGCAGTGAGGGCTATTAATAAACTTGCTGCATCTCCACTGCACCAGCGTGTGGCCAGTGCTCAGGCACCAGCTGAAAAAAAAACAATGTGTCCAAGCAAACAATGCGAACAATCAGTGCAAATTTTGCACAGTGCAACTGAAATGAGGAATATAACCTTGCCGCTGCAGAATGCGGAAATTAAGCCTAGAAATCGTAACGATTACGCAGAATGAGGAATGGTTGGAGACCCTGTACCACGAGGGGGCGCTAGCTGCAATGACGCGTCGCGAGGGGGCGCTATCTGCAACGACACACCATGAGGTGGCGCTAGCTGCAATGACACACCACAAGGTGGCGCCACTACGTCAAGGACGGGGAGCCAGTCTACGTCGAGGACCGGGAGCCAGTCTACGTCGAGGATGGGGAGCCAGTCTACGTCGAGGACGGGGAACCAGTCTACGTCGAGGACGGGACGCCAGTCAACGTCGTCAACGCGCCTACCTTCCCTCGACGACGCCAAGTCTCTCGCAGACGCGAAACAGATTGTCGAAGTGCTGCTGCTGGCCGTTCTCCACCTGAGCAAAGATCACGAAGAAATGATCGTCAACATCACGTTTTCAATGATTCTAGGACAACTACCCCCGGACAACTACCACCCGGACAACTACCACCCGGACAACTACCCCCCGGACAACTGCCACCCGGACAACTGCCACCGGACAACTGCCGTGACAACGGCAACGGACAACGGCCGTTCTCCACCTGAGCAAAGATCACGAAGAAATGAGGTACGTTTTCAACGATTCTAGGACAACTACCCCCCCGGACAACTGCCACCGGACAACTACCCCCCTAGGACAAATACCCACCTAGGACAAACCTAACCCTAACCCTAACCCTAGGGCGTAGTTGTCCGGGTGGCAGTTGTCCGAGTGGTAATTGTCCAGGTGGTAGTTGTCCAGATACGGTTTTCAACAGAATAAAAATGATAAAAAAACGTTCTCCACCTGAGCAAAGATCACGAAGAAATGATCGTCAACATTTTAATTCTTCAAAAAATTATCTCTCATCGAACTATCTCGAATCTATCATCAATATCTTTCATCGATCATCGATCATTGACATCTTTCATCGATCATCGATCATTGATCATCAATATCTTTCATCGATCATTGATCATCAACATCTTTCATCGATCATTGATCATCAACATCTTTCATCGATCATTGACATCTTTCATCGATCATTGATATCGTTCATTGATCACAGACATCTTTCATCGATGATCGATCATCAATGATCAATCATTGATCAACAACATCTTTCCTCGATCATCGGTCATCGATCATCAACATCTAAATAATCACCACGCGCGCACGCACGCACGCACGCACCCACGCACGCACGCACGCACGCGCACACACACACACATATATATTGTACAACCAAATACAGCTGAATAAAATGTTCTGCTCGAGGAAATCAGCCAAACTTTCCCCATATGTATAGCTGGCTGTTCTATACAGGTTCTCGCGCTGCGCCGGAGAATCGGGGCCCTCACCACGTACAGCATGCGGTCGAATCGGAATCGCTCACGACGGTCGGTGACCGCCGCCACGTCGCGAAGCAGGTACACGGTGGCGCCATCTCTCTTCTGCAGCACCGCCGACGGCCGGCCGTCGCCGAGCGCAATGCACAGCGCTCCGTTCCTACAGCAGAGGGAGCCACAAGCACACATGTAAACACGCGCACGCATGCTCAAATATATATATATATGGTTCTAGGACAATTACCCCCGGACAATCACCCCACGGACGAATTACCCCGCGACATTTACCTCCCGGACATTTACCCCTGCGACCAATACCCCGACATTACCGCCCCCCGGACATTTACCCCCGGAAAATCACCCCACGGACAATTACCCGGACATTTACCTCCCGGACATTTACCCCCTGGACAATTACCCCCGGCACATTACCCACCCGGACATTTACCCCCGGATAATTACCCCCCGGGACATTTACCCCCGAACATTTACCCCCGACATCTTTACCCCGTGACATTACCCCGCGACTCTTACCCGCCGGATCAATTTTACTCACTTTTTGTTTAGTATTCATTTTTGAACAGTGATACATTTGGGAGCGAGGTTCCTTTTAGAAGGAGGGAGAAGGTGTGGGAGGATGGAGGGGGAGAAGGTTTTTTGGTAGACGAGGTTTTGGGATGGAGGAGGGGGAGAAGGGTTTTTGGATTTGAGCGCAAGAGAAGCACGAGAGGAGGTGGAGGAGGAGAACGTTTGGGGGGGGTTGGCTTTGGAGCGGGGGGTGGAGCGAGAAGGAGGGAGGGGGGAGAAGGTTAAGGAGAAGAGGAGGAGAGGAGTGGAGGAGGACGAGAGGAGTGCGGGGAGGACGGAGAAGGTGGAGGAGGAGCTGAGGGGCCGAGAGCCTATCTGGTGTCTTCTCCTTCTAGACCGCTTGATCCTGCCAATCCCGCTCTCCCAGCGTGGAGGGCTTCCCCAGGACAAGAAGTGGGGGGAAGCATAATAAACACCAAGTGCGGAAAAATTTCCGGCGCGTGGAGGATGTGAGAGGGGCAGCGAGAGAGAGGAGGAGGGTAGGTGAGGGGTAACGGATGTGGTCGGGAAGGAAGTAAAGATGGTGGCGAAAAGGTGGCCGGGGTAAATGTCCGGGGAGTTAAAGTGAGGCAGGTAAGTGTACCCTCGGTGTG